GCCGTGTTGTCAAACTGTGGCTTTAATTGTAGTAAAATCCTATTTTTTTATCCAAAACTCAGAACTTCCTTAAGTGTTTGCAAAATTTACACTATATTGGTGTCAATAACAAAATATTTTCACTGTTAAAATAGTGCTTGATACTTCAATTACTGTAGAGCGAAATAGAAATATAAAAACAGAACCTGAAACATGTTGTTAATCAGAGTTTCATGTTGTGTCAAATAGATATATAGATTTTCTTTCTGGCTTTCTGTCTCACCTCTGTCACGTCACAAAGTAGCTTTCCAATGCCAAATACACAATACAAAATAATACAGACCAAATAAACTACATATATTATCAAGTAGATGATATTGGTATAAGAGATACTCTCCTATAGAAGCACTGGCCTAGGTCACAAGTATAGACTATGGATTTCAGCATTAGAATACATCAATTTAATAAAAATATTACTTACTTCTAAAATTCAAAATGTTTTGTGCCAACTTTAATATTTGTAATCTACCACTCACTGTTGACTCTGGAAGCTCTCTGTTTGTGATATTTTGTGATATTTTGTGGTGTTCTGTCGTGATAATTTGTGATAGCTTTTGTTTAATTGTTTGCTTTTTGCCTCCCTTCAGCCGAAACACAAGACATCAACAGACGAGATTGATGTGAGTACAAGTCTTGTTTCCAATATTTCAAATAAAACAAAGGAAATGGATTGTGGACACAGTTAAAACTTTTTAAAATTAAAAAAGTCAATACGCGAAATTCAAGGCATATACAAATTACAAAATTAGTGGGCTATGAAAATGATAACCAAAATAAATTGATCAAACTTGTAAAAAAGGCAAGAATATTTTTATAATTTTGGAGGTGATCTACAGAGCTGTTAGTTCAAAATGGTTTGAGCTATTTTGTCTATTTTGATCAAAATGAGTTATATTTAGAGTTTTGATTTGGTCGACTTTGTTTTGAGTTTACGTGATGTAGATTTTGGCTATGAAAATTTAAAACCAGTTGCGTCATGAATATCATTGATGACCAAAGATATCTCCTTTGTTTTGTTTGAAATTGTAATATTTAGTATAATAAAACAGCATGTCTGTCTGTAACATTCCATCATCAAATTACATTACAATACTTGTAAGCTTATATTAAGTGTAATTTCTGATTATTTTGACAGGGATCTGCTGAAAAGAAATTGCGAAGATCACCTCTATCTAAAGAACATCATAAAGATTACAGAGACAGACAGAGACACAAGGTAAGTTCCTTCTGGACAAAGTGAAATGTATATTATGCCTTTGATATTAACTTGTATCCTGGTACCTTATTCTCCAAAACTTAACTTAGTAATCTGATTGGATAAAAAAAACTAAATTTAAAATTGCTTTTAGTGATTGACCAATCAGATGACCAACTGGAACACTAAAAGTATCTTAAGTTAAGTTTTCAATGTAAATGCTGGTTTTTTTTTTCACATGATCTGTTTAGTAAAAGCTAGTCATTGCTTGTATCTAAAAGAATTTTATATTTCAAATGAAAATCTTCACAAAAGATGAAGACACCATCAAAGCATTTATAGACTGGGACACAGTTACACAAAAATTGTAATGATTGGCTCTAATAGCCAGATTTAAAACTGATTAGAGACGGACCAATCAGATGACTGGAACACTAAAATCATTTTGAGTTTTTGTGAAACAGGCCTCGATGTGACTTTGGAAAGTTAAAAGTTTTGTTTTGAATTACAGGAGGATGAACAAGACATCTTACCAATTGGACGTCTTTCACGAGACAGCGCCATCTTCAGGAAAGAAGGAGAGACTGGTGTCATGATGAGAGAACTTATCATGGGTAGGTCCAAAGACTTAATATTTTTACTTTTGCTTTGCACATACAATCGAGACTCAAATTTTAATGTATCTGTTTTCAATATGGTTCAGCCAAAGGGGAGAGGGGGGACTTATATATCACTGAATATGGTGTTTGCAGCAAGCAAAATTCTTAAAAATATTGCAGTATTGCACCTTTGATGGCCCCATGCATAATTTTGTCTACATTAAGAAATGTTTTCGTTTTAAGAATTACCAGAACATAAACCAGTAGTGTATGAACCAATGGTAGATACTGTCGGGTACGAGGGATCTCGAGCTGAACTGTCCTGTAAAATAATCGGCAAACCTACTCCAACCATTACTTGGTAAGTTGTCATAGTAATTCTTTAGGTGATAGAAATTGAAAGCTGACCCTGGATCGATTCTCAGAAGCACTGGCCTGGCATCAAAATATCCTGGATACAAATCCAAGGCTCTTACTTGTCTAGAAGACCACAATCCAATTCTCAACCATATGGTTACAGGGATATTTTAAAAAAAATGTCTACAGCATGTGATGACCATTTTCAATTTACACCTTGATTAATGTTTTTTTGAAATAAATAAGGTTCATTATTTAATCATCTTAGAATCTAAGTAGCTTATAACCATGGCAACATGCATTTACAAATTGGTGTTCTCACATTTGGTATTTTCATACTGTGTTTCTTGTTTTCCATTATTGCCAAAACTTTTTCAAGTAAAAACATGTTCAGATGGTACAGATGATGCCAACAGACTCTTCAAGATAATCCATTGTTATGCTTACCTAAAACTACCAGATGAATCTGTAGAATATACCAGTGGAAGCAGGCCCGAGGCTAGAGGGGGGGCCAGAAAATCTTGGCTTAGGTGGCTTAAATGACTTGGTGAGTGACATAGTTGAGGCCCCCTTAAAAAAATTTGGCCCTTCTGAGACAATGGGCTAGCTTAGAGCCTGAGTGGAAGATCTAAGATCTAAAGAGAAAAAGATATTAAACAAAACTAATTCAACACCATGAAAAGAATGAAGGTATGATGGTAATTAATCAACTAAAGAAACCAAACCAAGAAATGTTGGAATAACCTCTGACTATCTAGTGTCAAGGTCAAATGAAAATAGAAAGAAAAACAATATACACTTTGAGAAGACTTGAATTTTTGAATTGAAATTCCAACCTCCATTTTTATGTATAATACATAAAGCTACAGCAAATTGGAAAAAAAATTGAAAAAAATGATGAGATGATATAAGCCAAGACGTCTCTAGTAAGTTTGAGCACCTACAACTATATCGAGGTAAAGTAATGCTGTTTCCAGGAGATTACTCACATCAGAATGAAATAAGATACATACAGTCACAGGAAATGAGAGTGGCAATGACGTGATGCGTCCTTAGTAAGTTTGAGCACCTACAACTACAAGGTAATGCTTGAATAGTGGAGTCAAGAATGAGATAAGATACAGCCACAGGAAATGAAAAATAAAACTCAAAAATATGATGTCTGTGTTAGTCAAGACGTCCCTAGTAAGGTTGAGCTCAAACAACTATTTCTCTGCAATGCTGATTTTAAGGAGTTAATTTAAGTCAAGGTAAAATGAAATGAGATATTAACAGGTATCCTGGTTTATAAAAACATTGATTCAGTAAGTCAATCTTGGCACCAGGTAAAAACGATAACCAGGAGTTCTTATCAAACAGTCTGCCAATATATATATCATGATCTTAGTTCTTTATTTAACTCTTATATAAAATGCTAGCCACATGTTCAATAAACTGATGTCAGTATTAGGGTGTATTGACACACATCTTAATGAAAGCACTGGCCTGGGTCACAGAGAAATAGATAGAAATGTGTTCCAGTTTCATCAAGATAGAAATTGTAACTAAGTATATGTTATATAGACACAGCTTTATGGAACAACAATCACTGGTTAAAGTTTTATGCAACGTTTCGACGTGTTTCCCCCGTCTTCAGGCACATGAGTATATCTCACCAAGTGTTAAATATTTTTAAAGATTTTGTTATTATTGTGAGGTGAAGTAGTGTGTATT